GCTGTCAATAAAGTATTTTGGTTTGAGCAAACCAAGCATAGCAAAAATGTTTGTAGTGATGAGAACCCTCTCGTATGTCCAAGGTTCAAACTTCAAACATCTGTACACCTTGATACGTGAGAAGGGGTCTCACGGTATCAGTACTTCGAACCTAACACATCATTCTTTTAGTAATTTCTTTTAAAATTTTAGAATATATGCGTCGTGTCCAAATTTCCCTATCTTGAAAAGGTTGTTTCGGGAGAAGGCCCACATGATATATTTATCGTGTCCAAATTTTTAACCTTGACTCTGCCCACCTTAGAGGCTAAATAACTTTCATATATTAAAATTACAATTAGCGTTTGTAGTCCAACGGTTAGGATAATTGCCTTCCAAGCAATAGACCCGGGTTCGACTCCCGGCAAACGCATTATTTTTCTATAAAATTTTTTGCAAGGGCTCGTTTGTCTTCAACTGTATTGTAGTGTTTAACTGACTTAAAGGTACCCAGCTTTCTTCAACTTTTGTAAGAGAGTCTTGTGTTGACTCAGAGCACTCTTTTGCATTCAATAACTGTCTTCACTTAGTGACTTAAAGGCATCCAACCTTTTCATGTAGGAACTACCTTGCAATGCCATAAGCTGCTGTGGGAAAGCCCTACCAAACGGGTACTCAGAATAGCATCAACGGAAGTTGAACGACCTGTTTCTGTTTGTATACAACTCTTTGGAAAGGTCAAAAAGGGGCCTGTGCCAAAGCTATTGAGGATGCAGCCAAAGCTCCGGCCTCCAAGGTGGTCCCAACCACAAAGAAGGTAGAGCAGAAGCCTTGAGGCGAAAAAGAAGGTATTTATATTAGGGCTATCAACGGATTGGACCTGGATCGGATCGGAACAAGGTGGTCCCTGTCCAAAACTGATTATTAATTAGGACAAAATAACATACCTAAAACTGTCCTGGTTAATTGTCAGGTGGACCCAGACCTGATTATATTAAAAATTATATTTGTTTATTTAAATAATAATTTAAAATTTAAATTTAATAAAATGATAGAAAAATGTTATATTATTTATATGTTAATAAATTAAGTA